TAAATAATATTTTATATATATATATATATATATATATATATATATATATAGTGATAAATGAAGGATAATTACAAGTTGTCATATTAGGCTGACATTGGCAATATTAAAAATTACAATTAGTGTTAAATATAATAAAATATTAAACAGCTACTGCGGAAAAAATATGAAAACAGAGTTTTTGAAACATGTAAATTGGTTTATTGCTGGTTTAAGGTGGTTTACTAGCTTTGCTATTAAATTATCGACCAGTTCAAAATGAGGCCCACCAGCTACAAATGCAGCTGATCAACCATCTAAATCAGTTTGGTCTAGGCAAAAAAATGTACAATCTAAAACTAGCTAGTAACTACCTTTTTTTGAAGCAGAAAAGTTAATCTAAACAAAAATAAGTAGTTGTTATTCTAAACCTCTTGGTTGGCCATGTTGAGCTTGGTAGTGAGTTCCTCTCGTGTGGTCTCCAGCTGCTGTTGCAGGTGGTTTCTCTGCTCTTCCAATGACAGACGCCGGATATCAAACTGTTGTCTCATCTCCTGGGAAAGTAAATATAAAAATAAAACATCAGAAAAGCAGGCCATAGCAGGCCAACGAAATAAGAGGTGAAACCACCAGACAGTAGGACAATCTGCTACTGACAGATGGAGTCTTTTTCAATTGAATTACACAGGAGCTGTAAAATAGCGGTTTTCAAAAAATAAAGTGACATGATTGTTATGAGATGACAAGAAGATTAGTCTCAATATTTGTTGTGATTGAGAGCTGTTTTTATGGAGGGCCACAAAAACAGTGGGAATAATATCACTGTCACATTGTCATCACTGCAATGAGAAACGGCTGTTTGCATAATCAACACTACTCAACGAGGAGCAGATAATATAATTTGGCATAGCTCTCAAGGTTTCAATAGATGATTTGGGAAAAGTGCCAAAATCCACCAGTCGTTTTTTAATAAGACTAAATATTCATATTCTTAATTTGTTTTGTATTAAGACTTTGCAGTTTATTTTTATTAAACAGAACACAGAGAATAACAAAAATCAAAAGAGAACACAAGGGAGTGAATATCTCATGCGAAAATGCTAATGAAGCAAAAACTTAAAGCTCATTGTAGATCTAAATTCATATAAACAAATATTCATATTAACATAAAAGGTTCACCCACAAATTAAAAATTGCTGAAAATTTATTCACCCTAGGTCCGTCCAAGAGATGAGTCTGGAGAAATTTAGCATTACATCACTTGCTCACCTGTGGATCCTCTGCAGTGAATGGGTGCCATCAGAATGAGAGTCCAAACAGCTGATAAAAACATCACAGTAATACAGTCCATCAATCAATGTCTTGTGAAGTGAAAAGCTGTGTGTTTGTGAGCAAGTGATATAATGCTAAATATCCAAATTTTGTTCTGATGGACAAACAAACTCATCTACTGTACATCTTGGATGGCCTGAAGGTGAGTAGATTTTCAGCATATTTTCATTTTTGGGTGAACTATTACTTTAAGCACTAAATCCATTGTTAAAAAAAAAAAAAAAAAGTTCTTACACTGAGCAACTGGTTTTTCTCTCTCTCAGCGGCACTGCGAGCACCTTCCTGCTGGACTCGGTGTTTCTCCTTGAGTTCCTCTAAGGATTCTGCTTGGCATTCTTTCAGACAGGCCATTTCCTCCTCGTATTTGGCCCTGATTCGCGCCAGCTCCATTTCATAGTTCTGCTTTTCCTCACAAAGCGACTGCCAAAACAGCACAGCTTCATTTACACTTTGTCAAGTCTCAATACCTTGTTTCGAATACCATGATAATTGTTTCCAATGGCAGTGACTGATTTCAAAATACTATTTAGCAACAGTTTGTGTACATCATATTTGGCATGTATGATTACATAGTCCCAGTCTCAAGGGTGTAACCAAATATTCAAGATTAGGAGAGACTAAAATGTAAAAATCAAATAATCTGTCAATGGAAAACCCTTATGCCTTTATTAAGCAATAATCTGAATATTGGAGGGAATGTGTCCCTCTGAATGTCTATGGTGTTGCATCAATGTAACCTATTTTAGGACACTAAAATGTGAAATAAACTACTGTTCAAAAACTTGGGATGTTTTGTTTCTGAAAGAAGTCTCTTATGTTTACCAAGGTTATTTATTTGACCAAAAACACAGTAAAAACAATAATATTGTGAAATATTATTACAACTTAAATAACTATTTTCTATTTTAATATATTATAAAAAGTAACTTCTTCCTGTGATGACAAAGCTGAATTTTCAGCATCATTACTCCAGTCTTCAGTGTCACATGAACCTTCAGAAATCATTCTAATAAGCTGATTTGGTGCTCAAGAAACATGTCTTATTACCATCAGTGTTGAAAACAGTTGTGCTGTTTAATATTTTTGTGGAAACAGTGATCTTTTTTTCAGGATTCTCTGATGAATAGAAAAACTTACTTAGTAACTCCAAACTTTTGAACAGTAGCAACACTTTCTGCAAAATCAATAACTGCTTCCAAACAGGTTTTTAGTCCTGCCTCCCGTCTGCCTAACAAAGAAAAGGTGAAAATGTATTTACCTTCTCCAGGCTGAGGACCTTCTGATGCTGTTGTTCTTCCAGTGTTTGAATCTGTTTCTGAAGTCTCTCTCTCTCCTCCTCCAGCTGTAGGATCTTCTCCTTCAGGCGGTTCTGCTCAGAGCCCAGGTCCCTGATAGTGGCCTCGTGGCTCATTTGGGTCGCTTGAAGAGAGCCTATCTGACCTGTTAATTAAGTACAATGGGGTATTTTGTTAAATTAATGCTTCCTCAAAAATAAATATGGCACATTATTTGTAGACATGAAGGAGTCAATCACAAGCATAAAAACTAAGTAGAATTCAAGTGAAATTCAGGCAAAACAGAGCTAAATCCATCTCTGCCAAGCTTTCACAAAACTGCAACCTCTCTAAAAAATCTCTCACACTGCAGCTTGAGTGATTCAGTGCAATATGCTGAAGAAAAATGACATTTGTTCATGATATTATTCTCACTGGCTTTGTGAAGGATTTCATTGGCCTGCTGCTGAACTCGATCTCTGCTTCCCTCCAGCTCATATTCTGTATCTTTCAGCTGCATCACCCAAATCTCTCCATCCTGTATGGCCTCTTCCAGCTGCTTGTGTAACTCCTGAAAATAGGAAAAATTACTTTTTTGAGATGCATTAATATTTTTAGAAAGCATCTAAACTCACAAACTCATCTCAATGATGTTTATTTACATTTCATTATATGCTGTAAATTGAAAGTACCCAAGACATTTTGTGTTTCTTCAACTATGGCCAATTTTGGCCCTGTGTACTCTAAACACACTTTTTACACTCATACTTTACATAATTTGCCCAGGAACAATGTCCAGTGTACATATACTGTATGCATCATGTCAGAATTCTGTCATTTTTGTTGCTTCTGAACCATCATGAACATTTTCACAACTGCCTAATTCCCAACACATCTCAGGTTATGCATTGTGTTTAATAGCATTCTGTAATGGAAATCACATTTTAAACATAATGGAATACATAAGCTGCCTCTTTTTCCTTGCTACGGCTAATAGCTAGAATCTATGTATTCCAAGTAAACACAATTAAACAATATTTTCACACTTTTCGTGAAATTACAATTTGGAAATGCACAATATCTTTATTTTCTTTATGCATCACATTTTCATACTTTGTCTCATGACATTTTTTTCTTCTTGTAGACAAGTGCACTTTTGATAAAAATACTAATAATTTGCTGAAAATTCAGCTTTGACATCACAGGAATAAATTACATTTTAAAATAGAAAATTGTAATAATATTTCACAATATTACTGTTTTTACTGCATTTTTAATCAAATAAATGAAGCTTTGGTGAGCATAACGACTTCTTTCAAAAACATTAAAAAATCTTACCGACCACAAACTTTTGAATGGTAGTGTACATTCACTTATTGTTTAGATTATAGATATTAAAATGTGTAATATTTATGATAGGTTTCCTTATTTAGATTGAAATTCTGTGTCTGGGAAAAGGATAAAACAATAAAATCTACAATAAAAGGCATATTAAAAGTAATAAAGTTAAATTATGAAGACATTTCCAAGACATTTTCAATATGACTGTAATATAACAGAAATAAAACAGTTCTGACAGTTCTAATAATCAACTCAATAAGAGTGCCTAGAGTTGAAGAAACACCCTTTAATGAATCTCCATGTACTGAAAATGTTCAAATCATTACCTTAATTGTGACTTCTGCATTGTTAAGAGATGCCTGCAGTCTGTTGGTCTTGTCCCTGCTCTCTCGCGCCTCATCCTGAGCTCTGTGGAGTTCAGCACGGAGCTTACAAAGGGTCCTCTGAAGAGCCGACTCTTGCACCTGAAACTCCTTCCTCAGTTCCACCTCCGTCCTCTTCCAGGCCAACAAGTTCTCTGTGGTGAGCTGCTGCGTTCGCCTCATGGCCTCCAGCTCACGTTCATAGAACCCTTGAGCCTTGCTTAGCTTGGCATCGTACTCCTCTACCAGCCGGACTTTGTCCTGCATCAACTCCTCCACGCGCTCCATGAGCGACTCCAGCTCCGTACGATGCAGCTCAGCCAGTTTCTCCTGTTCCAGGCTGGAGGATGCACTCTGGTTCTGCTGGCTTTCCAGCAGCTCCTGAACTTCCTGTCGGTGGACCGACTTGAGCTCCTCCAACACCCGCCGTTTCTCCTGCTCAAACTGGGCTTGCATCTGACTGAAGGAGCGCAGCTTCTCATCGAACTCGTGCCGCATGTCCTCCACTTCACGGGACATGGACACCACACGTTGTGTGTGCTGGGCCTCCGTGCACAGCTGTGTGTCCTCCACGCGCTGCCGGTACATCTCGAACTCGGCCAGCGCTTGGCGCTTCATGTGTTCGTGCAGCTCAACGGACTCCTCCAGGGACTGCAGGCGCCGTTTCAGGTCAGCCTCGTCTCCAATCTTGCTCTTGTAGTGAAGGATCTTCTCCCGAGCCTCGGTCAGGATGTGCTGAACCTCCTCATCGTGGGCCTCCTTCAGAGATTTGATGGCATCTTCATGCTCGTCGTTTTTCGTGTTAAGGGCGTAAATGACCTGTGAGAAACATGGGTGATGAAGAATCAGTTTTTATACAGCTGCAGAAATTGGAAAATGTTGCATCATTTCTAGACAGCCTATCTGTCTTTCATCTCATTCCCTCTAAAAACTGGTGAATAAGTCAGCTGTCAGCACCCTTAAAATCCGTGATTATGTGATCGGTCTTCATGTTTACTTAAAACAGCAGCTGTAGTAAGATTTTTGAGGTTATTTCACATCGAATAATCCACTTATGAGTCATTTTTAAACTTTAAAGCTCATAATATTAAGTATTGGCAGATCCAATCACAGGGCAGCAAAGTATGGTATGGAGGCCAGACCTTTCTTTCTTCTGTGGAACACACACACACACACACACACACAAAGATATTTCAAAAAATTCTCAGTGTTTTATTTGTTCATACAATGAAAGTTGACCCCATTAACTTCCATTGTTTATAAAACAGTTGAAGCATTCATTAAAATATCTTCAATTGTGTTCCAGAGCGGACACACATGTTTGGAAGTACATGAGGGTGAGTAAATGATACTTTTCACAGTCGATTAATCACAAATAATTAACACAACTGTTTTGCATTACAAGTTTTTGGAAATGTCATGTTTAAATATGCAAATAAGGCATTGTCTAATTTAATATGCACTGATTTGCATACATTTCCAGAACAGAAATCTGAACATTGGATAAAGCCAGGTTCAAAATTCTTGTTTAATTTTGTTGACATTTTAGTGTTAAATACAGAGGGGATTTTTTCTCTCTATAAATCAGAAAATATAGGTCAAGAGCCATAAAAAATAAGCTTTTAGGCATAAAATGTTAAATATATCAGGTGAATGATATATGAACAAAGCCCTCTGTAAAAACTGTAAATCACAAAATATAGTCAAGACTCAAGTGCCATAAAAATAAATAAATTTTAGGCATAAAAGGTTAAATATATGTCAGGTGAATGATTTATGAACAAGCCCCTCTGTAAAAACCTTCAGAATGTAGATAGGAATTAAACTGGAAAAACTGGTCTACATAAGTGCTGCTGAAGTGGAGATTTCTGGCTCAGTGCATGAGAGAAAAACACATTTTGAGAAAATGGCATTTAAAGATATGTACTGTATTTGAAATCTACAGGTGCAAACAGATACAGTATCATAAAATAAACACTTGTATGTAAATTTTGGATGTTTTCTTTCCACTAGCTGGAAAGAAGGCAGGTTATGGAAGGAAAATAGCATAAAATCTCAAAACTGACCAATGCATGCCTGTAGTGTCTTGCTTAAAGCCAAGAAATATTCCAATGCCAAATGTGTCCATCTTGCACACCTCAATAACTGTCTGGCCACCAAATCAGACATAAGAAAATTTCAACAAACCGAGGATAACCGCACCAGGCCATACAGTATACACCTCTAAAGTGGCATAAAAGGGAGGAAAAATCATTATGGATCCAACAGACCAAGGACACAACTTCTTTTGACCTCTGGGAGGCACCACAGGGCACTGGCAACCAAAAAAAAATTATTTCCACTGGCCATTTCAATATAGTGCAGTACCCTCTTAAACATAATTAGGCAACAAAGATGTACATTATGTAAACAAATATTCATATTTATGCTATTTCAATACACTATATCCATTTTGCACTTCCCTGTACAAATATTTTATGTGTATTTTTAGACTAGAAGTTTTCATGTATTTTCTTGCATATATAATATATATTTAGAGTGCTCAAAGCTCCTGTAAACCAAATCAAATTCCTTGTATTTCTATAACACTCTTTCTGATCTGGACCAAACTCTTAATTTAATAAACAAGTGTCAGTATTAAAAAATTCCTTTTGGAGCCAACAGTTTTTCCAGCCAAGCATTTCATAATCATGACTCTCTTTTGTTGTGCTTAAGAGTTGCACATCAAAGCAAGCCGCCTTCACTTGCTGCTCTCGCGCTGCTGTTCTCCTTTTCATCTTTAATTGATTCCTTTCTGTCGCATCCATGTTATTAACATACTTTAAGGATGCCCTACTGTAGTTATGCAAAGTAGCTCTACCTAGATTAATTAGTTTATTAATACGTTCCATGTCAGTTTCAAACTCATAAAACTGGATTTTCCTGAACAAAGCTCCTCGTTTTCTCACCATAACTTACCATATTGAAGAAATGGATTAGATGTGAGTTTAAATAAATTGTTTGGCTGGAGTCAAAGAAACTTCAAGGGTACTTTTATAGCTCAAAAACATACCTAACATTTAATTATCATGTTTATACTTCATGACTTTAGATATTTTTTTAGATATCTATTTTTTTAAATATATGAATATAGTTTAAGGTTTTTTTATATTTTAATTTAATTCAGTTAAAATGTTTTTTATTTGTGACCTTTTTTTATGGTTTACAATAATACTATAGCATAATAACCTTGGTGTACACAGTATAGTTCATTTCATTTAGATTTTTTTTTTGAAGTTTTTGAATATATAGATTTTTTTACAATGTGTTTTTGTTGTGTTCAAGAAACAGAAACATTACTAGAATGAATACCAGTCACATTTCTGTGAAATGCATGCCTACTTTTGGTAAAATCTTTTAAAATATCAGCATGTTAGAGTTTCCTTACATCCAAAAAAACATATTAAAAGCATCTGAAAGGAAATTGAGAGGTTAAATATTGTTATTGTTTTCACACATCTAATTCTGGGACCCGAAACATAAAAACAGTGAAGGCAAAACACGCAAGGTCTTGAATCCAAAGAAAACATTGCTCTCATGTTGGGCATAAATTACACAATCAAATTAAATCAGAGGTAAAAACTAATAAGGCATATGCACTTTTGATAAATGTGGATGTTAATAAACTAGACTGATTATTTCTGCATTAAAGACTCATTATGTAACATGCCTTGCTTAATTGTTTTTGTATAAATTAATCACAGATTAAATACAGCTAGCAAATTTTGTCTGGGATTATAAACACATTTTTGCAGGAAAAAAACACTGAGGTGCAAAAATTTCAATATGTAGGGCATCTTCTCTATAGGGGATAATACGGATTAATGCAAAATCCTGTTTACAGTATATTCATATTAAAGTTGAGATAATGTGATCAAAATACAAGCAATGTGATCATACCTACCTTAGTGAGTTGTGCTATTTTTTTACTCATCTTCAGGTGCAGATCTTGAGTGTATTCCATGGTCAGCGCAGATTCGTAGAGTAAATGGCTGGATGTGGAGGATGGACTGGTGCCTGATCCAGAAGCAGCAGCAGCAGCGGGAGAAGAACTGATGCTCGGAGCAGCGCTGTACGGCGGCTGCCAGCCCGTCCCCGTCGCCATCTTCACGTACTGTCACGATCCCAAATCCCTCGCAAGCAGCTAGGTTAAGGATGGTCCTGCGCCATCAGTATCCCTGTCATCCATATGAATTCATGTAAACCCATCATGCTGTTTCTCTCTACGTGTCGATCAGCGACTGTTCACCTGACTCGCCACACAATCAATATTTTTAGCGTCTGATATTAGCGCTACGTGACAGATGTAGTTGTTATTGGTCTACATCAGTCAGTCATCAATAGCGGGAGACGAATGACAACGAACTGAGCGCTACAATGTAACACTCGAGCTTCATCACATGAAGGCAGATTCACGCACAGTGGCAGACGCAGCGCGAGGAGAGAGAGGGTTGTAAATGACGTCAGAGCAGTACGGTTACCTCACAAACAGCTTTTCTGCTGCAGATACGTGATTTAAATACAAACGGGCCTATGAATTATCGACAAGAAATAACACGAGCAAAGACACACCAACAAGTGTAGTTTGCTCATTTCAGGAGTGATGCGTTGTTAGATGCGTTGTATGTCTATACAGGCAATAATATTATACAACGTATAATATAATATAATATAATATAATATAATAATATATTATTGTATCGTGTATATTGACTATATTCTTTTATTAACATTTTTATCATTTTTTACCCGATTAATATAATTTGTTTTAGTTGTATATACATAAAATATTATATATTATGTTATATCATATTATATTATAGTGTATACGAAGTATATATTCTTTATTATTGTTTTTAATAATTTATTTGATTACGATAACTCATCTTTGTTTTCACTATGTAATTATTATCTGCACTACATTAGGTATCTGAGACTCATTACATATATGTGTGTGTATGTATATTATTATATATATATATAATGCACACACACACACACACAAAATATATAATATATGTATGTATATATCATATTTTTTCTCTTAATATATTTTATTTGATTAAAATAATGAAAATATTTTCACTACAAGTATCTAAGACTCATTATGTGTATTATTATTATATTAATTATTAATATATTATTTAAACACACACACGTTCTCAGAATGATCTGATCAGCAGACAGATTTGATTTATCAACGAAACCTCAAATCACATATTCCTTTTTGAGACCTATGTGCTTTTGTTGAGTATTTACTGCCACCTACTGGTGTTTCAGTGATATGTTTTTCCTGATGTTTATACGGTGGCCAAGAAGTGCAAAGCAAATCACAATTCTGAAAACAAAATAACAAATTACAAACGCAAATGCAAGTCTAAAAAACTAAATAACAATTCAGAAAGCACAACAACAATTCAGAAAACATTATAACAAGTCAGAAAACACAATGACAAATTCGAAAACAAAATAACAAGTTAGAAAACACAACGACAAATCCGAAAACAAATGAACAAGTCAGAAAACACAACGACAAATCAGACAAACCGGAAAAGGTAGGTATAGTTTGAGACAGCGCCATTGGTTTGGGATTACTCACCGCTGACTGGACGAGACATCTGTCAATCAACGTATACAGGGAAGAACCAGCCGAAGAACAGCAGAGTCGAGATTACAGCAGAGCTCTTATTACTACCTGTGTGATATTCAGGAAATGTTTACAAGACATTGCAAAAGATTTATCTAAAAGGTGTGGTGTAGGTCAACATTGTGCTTTCAGCAACATACCAAAGTCAACTGCTAATGCACACCTATAAAGGATCCTAGAGATATAAATTTTGAACTCTGAAATTATTGGTTGTCTTCACAAGATGCCCTCCAAAATCGCAAAGCGTACATTAGTATGTCTTCTCATCTCCCGTGTGAAAACTCAAACAAAACCAAATAACAGGAAACCAGAAACATTATCATCAGAAGAAAGATGATATAATCTTGTCATCTTGACATTGGTAGTCTTCAACCTTTCTACTTCCTCTTATTTGGTCTGTCATTTTCACACAATTTTACAGCAGAAAAGCATGTTGGAACATGAATTAGGTGTGTCTTCCAGCACAAACAGCACATTGCTTAATAGTTTTATGTCTGGATGAGGAAAAATAAACAAAAGTATTTTTATTTTTGACTCATAATAATATTTTTTATGAATACATTTCAATGTTATTTTGTAAGTTTTATGTGTCTTTTTTTAGTGGGACTCATAACATTAAAATATATTTATATACATGGGGTGCATAACAATAATAAACAACAAAATAAAAGAGACATTATTACTGAATATTAAAATGCAATCATTTTATAAATAATTAATAATTAGATTACATTAGACTAGATTCAACTTTATTGTCATAATGCAGAGTAGGCTACAAGTACAGAGAAATGCAGTTAGCATCTAACCAAAAGTGCAAGAATATAGTGTCTTATATACAGATAAGTGCAGAGTAAGTGAAGCTATAACTTATAGTATGTACAGTGGAGTTGCGATATACAATATTAAACAGAGTATGTACAGAATATAAATAGGAGTGCAAATGTAGGGTTATATGTACAGTATGAACAGCAGCAACGTAAGAAAAGTGGTTGTATGTGAAATAATATTGTTAGACAATGTACAGTCTATGCAAATATTATTATCATTATTGAAAACATTGATTTTCACCCATATTTGTTGTGGTTCAGGAAGCTAGGTTACTCCTGAAGGACATGGATTAACGGATTAGTTAAACATTAACTATTCTCAAACGGAATGTTGACAGATGACGTCACGTCGTGTTTTTTTACACTGTGTGAATGTGAATGATTGTTACACGCGCGTCAAAAGTGTAGCAACTCTCTTCCTCAATCACGCGAAATCAGCTGAACATCTCCGAGAGCTGAGGTTACCTGTGCAGGCGAGGATTCAGGATTGAACACGGGTTGACAAATTTCCGATTTGAGCAAAACGCGGTGGTTTGCAGGCTGTTTACCTTGGGAAAAAGTTCTCGGCTGCTGAAAAGCGCTTGGTTTTATTGACCAGGATGAAACAATCAAAAAGTGCACTAGAACTGATTGACTTGAGCTTTTTGTCTGCTGAGGAAGAGGCAGCCATCCGTCAAGTGCTTCTGAGAGATGAAGATTTAAAACGACTGGAGAGTGGACGAGTCAGGTGGGAAATGGTTGTTTGACCTACACTGCAGTCTGCAGGTTCATGTGGAGCTGTATTGTACAAGTACGAATGCTTACCAAGCACTGATGATGTATTTTCCTGTTTTTCCCCATAAAAGTTTTTAAGGAAGTTACTGGTTATTTATTTATTTATTTAAAATACATTTTAATTGATTTTATTTCTATTTAATTTTAGGTTTTATATATTTTAATTTAATAATTTAAAATAATTTATATATGTATTAATTAATTTATTGAAGTGTTGGCATTTTTATATATTTGAACATGTTGGTATTTGAAAAAACTATTACAGTTCATATACTTGGAAATTGCTAAATTTGATCCAAAACAGTCAGCAATGGTGTCAGTAGGCATTTGGCATGGTGGCACATTAAAATTGTAAATATGCTGCCATACTTAAGCTTGTTGTTATGATAAACTAAGTGTGAGCATCTGTTGACCTATATTTAGTGAAAATATCACGTGTTGTGCTTTTGCTACAGTCATCTCTTGATGCCGAGTTCACACTGCATGATTTTCAAACTTGTCGGATCGCCATTGTTTTCACACTGCGTTACTATCTGGGGTAGCATTCAGTTGCTGCTGTGTTCACATTGCACAATGGATCGGCCGACAGCTCTGTCTGGTCCGCAAACTACGTTTCACAACAAAACACAAGCGAGAAGTGATAAGGAAATAACGCGAGAACCCGCGTGCGTCAGACTTGAGTTCTCGAGCGAGACTGGAACTATTAAAAGTGACATGACATGTGGCCAAGTATGGTGACTCATACTCGGAATTAGTGCTCTGCATTTTTCCCATCCTAAGTGCACACACACAGCAGTGAACACACACACACCCGGCCAAATTATAAAATGTACAAATTATAAAATTAATTTATAATTTAATTATAAATTAATTTATAATTAATTACCTTGAACATAACACATGGTTTAAGTCAAAGGGATTGGGTGTTCTGCAAAGAGAGTTGGAGGTACCGGTAACTAATTTGTTACCTATGTCAATTTGTCACTATACCTATTTGTCACTATGCTGATGTTGTGGCTGGTCAAGCAAATGTTTGTTTGTGCTTGTTTCTGTATGATATAATTCTTCATATATCTATTGAAATACTGATATTCTGGTCTATAACTCCTCCCCGAACTTCCCTCCGCCCTGTATCTTGGTCTCTCATTGGCTGTAGGTCATCGCCGATGTAGTTTTCAGTCAGAAATCATTGCACACAGCGTGATTGTGAATCGGCGACAACTCCAGATATTTAGCATGCCAAATATTTCACGGGCGTCGGCGACGTGTCGGCGATTCCCTCAGATTGCGTCTTTGATAATTCACACTGAGTGATTGTCACTCGCGTGAACGAGCACCGATTTGCCTCCGATTTCAGGCATTTGTCGGCGATTTCGCAAAACCTGTCGGCGAGTGAAAAATCGGGCTAAAATCGTGGTGTGAACTCGGCATGAGGGTTAAGTGTGCTTACTTAAAGGGATAGTTCATCCAAAAAAGTAAATTCTGTCATCATTTTCTCACCCTCAATTTGTTCCATACCTATATAAGTTTCTTTTTCCTGTTGAACTTAAAAGAATGTATTTTATGACCGAATTTTCATTTTGGGTGAACTTTAAGTATGCTAGTGAACCCTAACTAGTGAGCCAAAGCATATGCTAAACAGCTAATCATATTTTTCCTAAATGTTGCCATTTTCATTTTGGGGTGTGGGAGCAATGTTTAAGTTATAATGACTTCTGCACATTTTCCAAAGTCTTTGGCCAAAGTATTCTAAATAGTGCATCTGTAGTATTCAGAACCCTGTTTGTGCTTTTATGACATATCAGGAAACTGAGGCAGTCAGTCCCTGACTTTCAACAGCTGAAGACTTTGACAGGTGAGTGGTTTGAAGAGCTCAGGGTCAAGCGATACGGGCAGCAGACAGATGTCACTGCAGTGGTGAGATCCTCCATGAGATGGAAGAAAACAGCAGGTATGCAGAGTTCATGCCATCCTTAATGAGCTGATGCTGTTATCTTTGAGTACACACAACACACCTGTCTGGTCATTTCAAACTTTTTTGCTTTCTGACTGAGTCATAGATACAGCATACTGTGTCCTGATTATGCCCTGCATTGCCCTTCGCTACTGTAACTAAAACTCCATTTCACTGTTAAGTGAATATGAACT